TTTAAAAAAAAAAAGGGGGGAGAAAAAAAAAAAAAAAGAAAAAAAAAGTGTTGGTTTTAGCTGCAAACATTTCTCCTTGTGACCCATTTCTGAAGAGCCATGAATAGCCCCCCTGTTTGGTACAGTCGTCTGTGTATGTGTGGGGGAAGGGAAAGGGCTTTTCTTTTCTTTCTCTAAAATTTTTTTTTTTGTCCTCTTCTCCTTTTTCGTGTTTGCTCAGTGAGCGTTGGGTTGCAAAGAAACACGGCCGGGGTTAGATTTTTTGCACTGAACTCTCTCTTGGGCGGCAGTGCCAAAACACGACTTCATATGAAAGTGCATAGATTTGGAGGAAGAAAATGAATTCCAGCTGCTCTGGGTGCTCCAGACATTGTGTCAGACTCTGGAGGGCAGCCAGCTCACAGACCATAAACTCCAGCTTAGGAAAGGAGGTTTGGGTTTGGATTTTTTTTTTTCTTACCCTTTTGTCAAGAGGTTTTGTTTCTGTTTTGTAATTTGGGGCATGTCAACGTTAAGATGTTTTGTTAACCTGGAAGTATTTAAATTAAAGTAATTTACAAATGGAAGGGTTTGTCCTCTTTAAGGGGGCGGAAAGTGAGAGAGGAAGTAAAAGCTGAACTGAATTTGTTATCTGCGTGTTGAATTTCTCCCTCATAAATGTGTGTAAAATGGTGCGATCTAAATCCCTCTTTATTATTCCTTAACCTTTCCCTGCAAAGCCACTCTTGGGCAGATGAATTGTTTTGCTTTTCCCAGGCCCATCTTGCACACACACAAAAAATCTGTTTATGGCCTTTGGCTCAATGTTGCTTCATTTCTTCTTCTCCCCTCTTTGCTGAGACTTGGTGACTTGAAAGGAAGAGGTGTTTTGAAAATTACTCAAGTGGGATGTGTCTCTTCATAAGCTTAGTATATCTAAAATGTCTCCCTGGAAGCAGTGGAGACTAAATATCTTCATGCCTTAGGAAAAGGCAAGGCAGAAAACGTGCAGCCATTCAAGCTGCCATCTGTGGCACCAGAAATATGGTTGTGCTCATCCTGGAGGGGCCACATTTTCTCTCACACCTTTGCTGGCACTAAAAATTGCAGTGGCAACTTTAATGGATTGTCATCTGCTGGCCTGAAGCCATCAGCTCCATTCACAGGGTCACCAAACCCCTTTAAAAGTAACAACTTGCTTTTCATCAGCTTGAATCCTATTCAAATATGCTTTATGGGCATGACTTAAAATATTGGCAGGGTATGAATGCCTGAGGTTTGTGTGTCTGAGTGCAGAAAATCCTAGTATTGGGTACTGAAGATCTGTTCAAGATGGTGGATCATCACAAACTTGATTGTTTATGTTTGTCTTTGCAATCCATTTGCCGCTGGATTTCATTTCTGGAGTCTTTGCCAGGTCACCTTGTGAAATGGGAGTTGGCTGCTGGATTATTTTTCAGGTGAGTGCAGCTAATGAAAACATCTTCCTAATTTGTCTTATCTTCATCACGGCCAGAAGATGGCAAATGTCTGCGGCTGGCTCAGCAAGCTGCTTACCATAACGCTGGCTCCACTGCCTCTGTCCCCTTTTGTGTGACGACAGATGCTGGGGCTGGATTAAGGCGGCAGATAGATATTGGGAAGAAATATTTTTCATGGTCTCTTGCGTTGAATGTGGGCCACACGCTTCAGTAAAGTTGCAACACCCTGTGTCAACTGAGATCTGGCTCCAGACCATCGCAGCATTTCTCCCACTGTATTGTTTCCTTGTTGGCTGAACTGTGGTGACCGAAACCATCTGGGTCAAATCCTGGCTCTTGAGACTTGCCACTATCTTCTGGGGGTGAAGAGCTCCCTGTAGACATCTCATTTGTTCTGCCTCCAGTAAATGAGAAAGCGTCTGATGTGTGCAACCAACCCAATTTGCTGTAACCCCCGGTACCGCTTTCCTGCCGGAATCCCTGTCTAGCCTGGCTACTGGCTTAATTTTTTTTAATTATACACAACTAATGCTATGGGATCCCACACACAAGAAGATGATGGCATTTTCAGGGAGCCCTGCTAATACCCCCTAGAGCCCTTCCACTTAAAAATAACATGATTTCTGCTGAAACCCCTCATCCTTATTATTTTTATATAAACCCTTGGGAATACTTGCTTGAAAACAGCATGTGTGTATCTTGAGTCACATCTGCTGGGTACTCAGCACTGCATGTGAGAAATTATCTGCTTTTTCTGAAGCATCTTAATTGTTTCTTCAGCTTCTTTAGCAACTAACAGATATTGCAGAATAACGGAGGAAGGACGGGAAAGGAGCACATTTAACAACTGAATATGGGTAGTGGAAAATGGGGAAAGCATGCTCGTTTTCTTCTATGTTCATCAACTTGTTTATAGCAAGGAGTGGTTTCCAACAGAGATCGCCTCTCTAATGAGTCTAGGGTGCTCAAAACAGTGAAGAGATACAAAGCCTATTGCCATCTAACTCACCCTTTCATACTCAGAGCTGTTAGCAAACCAAGAGCACCTTCCTTGGTATATGCAGCACCTAGAGACCTGGGTTGAGAGACACTGCTTGGTGGTACTTACGCTACTGAAAGCACCAACCGTGCTGGTGGGTGGCTTATTTTTTTCTATGGAGCGTTCAATGGAAAGGGACTTCTTTGCTGTGGTCAGAGTCTGGAGAAGGAGCCTGTAAGGGTGGGCTCATTTTCCAAAGAACTGATGGTCTAAGTGACCTGACGTCATCTTCACCCCCTGGGTAAATCTGCAATCACTTGTCTCACAGAAATCTGTTTCCTCTTCTGCTAAACAGGAATTTAGACGGCAGAGCTGGCCATATCCTTACCTTGCTTTCAATAGACACCTACAAACAAAATGAAAAGAGAAGAGGGGTAAAACCTTACAGGTTCACTTGTATTTGATAACCAAATGGTCTGCTTCTTTCATTTTAGGCACTGAGTAGTATTTGTAAAACAACAAAAAAATCCTTAAGCTGCATAAGTTTTGGCTTTGTAAAGGCGTAATTCACCTCCCCAACCTGGGATCTCATCCCAGCTGTACCACTGCCTTCAGGCAGATCATGTTGCTGTTTCCTCCCTCAGGTCCTGCCTATAAAGCAGACACTGGCTTGTTTTCTTATCGGCTTTTGAGATGTATGGCATTTATTGTACAAGCCAAGTCATCTGTCCGTCTATCTTTGTCTCTCATTTAAGGAAAAGGGGGGTGGGAAGGAAGAGAAGGAAAAATACCTGGCTAAAATAAATACATTTTTCTCTGGCATGAGCAGAGGATTTAATTGTCCCTCTCTGCCTGCCAACTCAATGGAACAAAAGCCTGATAACAACAAAAACAAACAAAAAGACCCCAGCTGTGCAGCCCTACGAGTAGTGGGCTACCTACAAACCTGCTTTCTTGGCTGTCTCAGCCAAGGCCAGTGCTATCACTGGCAAAGCTGCTGAATGACTGCCTGGGTACATCTGAGTAAACCATGTTCAGCTGATGGTGCTCAGTGGAAAAATGCTAGAGAGAGATGGTGAACAAGACAAGCAGGAGCTTAATGAGGGGCTGAGATGGCTTGGTTTGGATCAGATGCTTCAGTTTAACAAGAGGGAATTGCAGTATGTTGCTCAGTTCCTTAATCTGTCATAATTAATTTTGGCTGGCTCTTTAAACCTACAGCTGTACTAGAATTTGTAGATTGGGATAGGCTGAAGGGTTTAGACATAGATGATGTGTCTCGTCTCGAGAGGTAATGAGCGTTATTAGGCACGGAGAGGACAGCATTGTAATACTGGCTCAGACTTTTCCTTTTTTTTTTTTGCTTGTTACCATCCTAAGGCCAAAACCGACTGCCCAGAGCCTTGTTCAGCTCCAGTGATTTCAAGGGATGATCGCTAAATGCTGCTGAAGTGCTTGGGAATGAGGTGATCCCCCAAAAGCCCTGCTAAGGGTAGAATACAATGAGGAGTACAGAATATAAGAGTGTTTTAAGAGACACAACTTGTGGACTACTCTAGGTGTCAGAGTTCAGATATGGATTTACTAATTGAGAGAGAGAGAAAGAGGGCTTGAGAGAAGTTTGGCATTAGAGAAATAGCCAAGCCCCTGTGACAACTGCCACATCAACCCGTGTACCTGGGACTGGACAGCAAAACTCTGTGTCTGGAAATCCAAGCTCTGTGAGTTGGGGTTCAATGGCCAATCTAATCTATCTGCGTAGGCTGGGCAGAAAGGAGGAACTTTAGTGTGCCTGTGAAGTACTGCATTACAGCTACATATCCAGCGCTACAGTAAAAAGGAGGCGAAGGATGCTACAACACAGGGAATGCTGCAGTTCTTGGTCACTGCTCCCTGTGCTGGGAGGTCTGCTGGGGCCAGCAGTCACATAGGCTCAATTCTGTGTCTTGCATACATGTATTTAATGCCATCTGAGATGCCTTGGGGTATACAGGGCATTTGCCTGGGAGTTTCAGATGTAACACAAGACCTATGGGAGAGCTGTGCTCTTCTGAAGCAACAGCTAGCAGCCAGGTAAGATTCACCTGAGCATCTGAAATGACTCCAGATGCGTATTTTCAGGCAGCTAGTTGACCAGCTAGTTGGTGGTTTGAGAGCCCTTTCCTATTTCACAGCTGGGCTCTGAGAAAAGGCTGTGGCTGTTTCAAGTGGCTGTGGATATTCTAGGTCTTCTCCTGCAAAGGGATCTCATTTGTTTTTTAGGGACTCACCGATGCATCAAAACAAAGCCTGATGTAGAAGTCACCAATTTTGCGAAATTATTAATTGCATCTTGCAGCCTAAGCGATCTCATGAGTCTCACTTGCACAATTAGGCTGTAAATAATTCAATATTTGACTATCAGG